AATCGGTTGGAGTCATATAGGATCGAGGTGCTAATACAATTAAATAACTAATGTGATACTAGTGAAGAAGCCAGAATAATGTAGAAAGCAATGTTTGATAGCGAGTATCGTAAGGATCTAGCTAGAAGAGGTCAATAAAAAAGATTTCAATTGCCAATTAGACGCACTATTGGATTAATGCGATAAGGAGTAAGCAGCCAATACCGATTACAATGCTAGCGAAACGTCCTGAAATATAGCAGCAACAGTCCGATGCTGGACGAATACATAATAGCAATGACAGAGTAAGCAGTACGTAGTATTTCATATGAAGCCTAGCTGAAAACTCAATCAAGTTAAGAAAACGAGGTCAAACTAACTGTAGCCATGGAAAGAAAATTTTGGCCTAAACAAGAACTAAACAAACTTGGCCAACTTTACTATCTAATTTATGAATTAAACTAGTGTATTTAAAAGTGTTGGTTCGACCTCATTTTCGCAGCTTTGTCGGAGCGTCAGGGAGACGTGTAACGTACCTAGTCTAGTGTCCCCTATCCTATTATTCTTGTTTCCAACATCGAAGCAACGGCTTGGTACATTCCCAAACGTTTCGCCGGTATCGTAGTCAGCATCATCGGTGAGAGGCGCTATCGTTAGCACAGAGTTACAACTTATCAAAGTGAAAAGTGAAGGCAATCCTCTTGACCAATTTACCGTTCAACCATTGTGGCATCACTCCTCGCCCCTATTTTTTCTCCTACCTTCTAGTGTTGCATCTATTTCTATTAACACAACCTCATACCGCCCATCTACCTATTCACACAATTCTGTGCTCTCGTTTCCTCCAGTGTCACCTAAAAGGGCACCGCTAAAAGTGGGTTTGGTGAAGCGTAATCAGCTCCATCACCGGTACCAGACTCCGTTTGCAGGGCTCTTGAACCTTCAAACCCCCTTCTCATACCCCGCTTGTCAATTGGTGGCAGCTAAGCATCAAAATCACCGTCCGACTGTTCGAAATCTAGCTGCCTAACAGCCCTAAATTCTTGTCTCCGATTACGCCACATTTGCAGATTTAGAACAGATGACTCCTGTGTCCATGCCCACAGGAGACTGCGACTAAACAGAAGGCCAAACCAGCTTGGTGTTCATATCTACGATTTGATATAATATAGTTTTGATGGATTTGATATTACACAGAATACTTTCTACAAATCACTGAAATAAACCAGAATTTTAAGCTTGGCTTAAGAAGCAAATGCATTTACCCTATTGCCTTTCTTCGCAGCCACTCCAGTAGTTTGCAAAAGGCGATGACGATCTACTCGGCCTGCTGCCATGCGTCGACGATGAGGTCGACTGGACATCTTTGAGACTGATTGGAAGTTAGTGCTAAGAGGAACATATGCAAAAGGTTCTGGTCGGTTGCGGCGTCGCATATCGCCAGCAGCTTTACTTGAGGTATACTCATCACCGTAAAAGGAAACAGGGCCTAAGCCGCGTTTATGGCTGTTTATACGTTTGTGTCGGGCAGAACCAGATCGAGGAAGTTCTTGTTGAACGCGGCCTCGCCTAAAACCTGGCCGGGCCTCCACCTCCTCATCATCACTGTCATAAGAGGCATTCTGCAAATTCCAATCTTTGCAAAGATTGCAAAAATGACAAAAAGGCGAAGGAAGATACAAAAGGAAAGATATTTAAGAATAAAAAAGGAACTCAAATATAGCTCTAATATAACATTGTCCATATAAATTAAAGAGGAAAATTTCGGTGCGCCAGACTAGGGCTTTATATAAGAATAAAATAAGCGTAAATTTATTTTTAAATAATCTAGATAGTGTTGAAAAATTTTGCTAGCCTAATAAACTGAGGGGTCTTGTTACAATGAATTATAATATAGATTCAACTCCTGCAAAAATAATGATAAGAAAGCAAATACTCAGACCAGCAAGGCTACTTTCAGAAGTGTGATTTAAAATTCATAGACTTCTGAATAGTTATGTAGTGCTTACAATTACATGGCACACTATAACCACAGAACTTGCATAATGCTGGAGTTAGATTCAAGAAATCACAGTGATAGCATATCCACCACAATTTGGGGCGTCATAAAATTGATGAGGAATGTATTTTTAAATAAATCAAGGAGTAATAGGCATATATAATTTTGCCTTGATGCAATGAAATCTATATCAGCTAGTAAGCTGAGGTCATTACAAAACTTTAAAATTCTAAATACTGATAGTCTGAGTTTTATTTTTATAGCAATAAATTAAATGTATAGGAACAAAAAATGTGATCAAGAATATGACTCGGTTTGAGAAATTCTCAGCTGCATGAGTGACGAGTTGCATATAAAGAAATTAACCTAAAGAAGGTTGACTATTAAAAATTCAATCGAAAAAACAAAGACCAAATTTGTTCTGGCCTTTTGTTTAGTCGCAATCCCCTTTAACTGTATATTATTGGCTTGATCTTGTATTTTCAACTAATTCAGAGCGACAGGGAGATTTTGTGGAGCGTAAATAGTCCTGGGTCCTCTGTCATAGTATTCGTGATGATTCCCAGCATCGAAGCGTTGATTAAGTACTTTCCCAGACGATTCCCCGGCATTTTCAGTAAGAGTACTCCAGAGTTTACAGGATAAAATGCAAGGAGTGTTAAAAAAAACTTTGGAGAGACTGGAAGGACAATCAGCACAGGGATCAAAGGACACCAGTGACTCTGCAAAATAATGAATAATAAAAGATCAGAGATAGCTAAAAACACTGTCCTTACCGCTGAAAGGAGTGCAGCGGAAAGAATGTTCATTTATGGAGAAAACACCATAAAACGGAAAATCAGAGAGGCGTGAAAAAGGGAAGTCAGTGAGAATTTCGCGTACTGACTAGGCAGATTTAAAGATTCAACAAGGAGAACTTGACCCAATGGCATATATTTAACAATAGGCAGATATATCGCCAAAAAGAGGATCATGAGGGACAAAGAGAAATGAAGAAAAGAAGATAACATTGAAAGGAGTAAACCTGAAATCAACTTGAGACGTTAACAGTAGGGATCCCCCTGTAGGATAAGAAATTAAAGGCCAGAAACATGCAGTGTACACCAGTATAGGTGCTAGGCCAAAGATCTAGGTCCATTTCAAATTCATCGGGGTGTGGAAACCGAGCTGGGGAACACGATCAGTTGTCTCCCGGCGTATGCGTGTATTTGTGTGCATTTGTTCATCTGTATGTCTATAGTGAGAAGTCACGAGCCAACGTACACATGAAGAGCTAACTATAACCTTAGGATTAGATGAGACTGTCACTTTGAGAGATAAGAGTGTGTTTTACTTGAATCAGTAGTTGAGAAGGGAGGCGAACTATTTTCACACCAGCGGCTACTAATCAAGTCAGACACAGGACCCCAGAGAACAACTTCTATACAACGAAAGGAGACTGCGACCACACAAAAAGCCACACCATCTTAGTCTTCATACTTTCGAAACACTTTTAAAGATTAATATTTGTGAATGCATGATACGAGTTGATAGGGGGCACTCTATCAACCTTTAATACAGTGCATATAGGGAATAGAAAAGAAAAAACCCAAGCAATAAAGCGATTTATGAAAAAAATTCGGTCTCACTTGTCTTAGTGTCCTCATTCTCAATTATTAGCTTGCCATCCTGCATAGCGAATTCATTGGATGTTGCACCGGCTTTAATTGCTGGCTGAGTGGAGGGTAGACAGCTAATCAGCTTGTCGGCCTCTTGCAATGACGTTGCATTCAGCTTAACGGCAGCGCGAGCCAACGCCGGTGTTGGAGCCACGGCCATATGTCTGAGAAGACTTTCCGGGTCAGCCAAATCCAGCACCTCATCGTCCTCATCTTCAGCCTCAACTAACCAAATACGTGACATCGTTTGGTCATCATTATCAGCATGCAGGCGACGCCGTTTCCCCTTGCCGCCTCGAACGTCTCCACTTGTCATTAAATTTCGACCTTGAGAAGTGGTTTCGTCAGCAAATGCGACATGACGTCCTCGCTTTTTGCCGCGACCAAGCAAGGAGACGTTAGGGTTGAACTGAGTGCCACTATCAGAATCTGTGTCATCGCCGGTTTCTAAGTCCGTCTGACCAGAAGCAATGATGCGTTTAGCCCGACGACTAAGGCCCGAAGTGAGAGCAAGAGATTCAAGGTCTTCAGCCAAACCCTTCTGCTCGCCTGTCGACTAAAAAAAGCATAGGTAAGAATATATGAAGGTCAAGATGTTGTGGTCTCTGTTATGGTCGCAGTCAAAGAAGACAATTGTAAATCAATCTTCCCATCTGACTTTTTAAACTGTTGTAAACGTTATGGTAGCACTCCTAAGTTATGTGACCTTAAGAGACCACTCGGATAAGGTTAATGAGTATCTTCATCAGGCTTCTATTCAGAAACTAAGTGAAACATATGGCACAGAACGGAATAAGT